TCTTGTGTGTATTAGACAAACACCTAAATATTTTCTATGGCTCCACTCTCTTGCTGTGTCATCTTTAATGGATCTTCTTACCTAATGTCAAGAGGGGCATGGTAGTACATGCCGGGTTTCCTGGCTCTTGAGAGACAGAGGAGGGAGAGTGATCACATGTTCAAGGCCAGCCTGGTATGGAGTTCTAGGACATCTAAAGTTACATGATAAGATTCTTTCTTAAAACAAGAGTCTGCTTAAATTGCAAATTCTCCTGCTATCCACACATAAATATTTACTGAGCATCTGATACCTTTTTGGCATTGAGCTTGGACTTGGGATTCTAAAAATGAACACAGGTCTGTATGTAACTCTGAAGAATAATTCTTAGAAATACCCACTACTTAACAGGCTGGGAAGGTCACTCAGAGTACTTGCTGAGCATGCATAATGCCCCAGGTTTGATCACAGGACCACATAAACTGGGCTTGGTGATGCATGTCTGTAGTCTAAGAATTTCAGACATGTACAGACAGGAATCGGACATTTAAGGTCATCCTTGAATTGGCTACCTAGTAAGTTGGAAGCCAGCCTGGGATACATGAGATCCTTCCTCTCTGAAAACAAAACCAAACAAAAATAAAATACCAAAAATAAAACTACCACCCATCAGGCACTTACGTTTCTTCTTTTCCATTCTTTTGGAAGTGAACATTGAAAATCTCAAATATTTGTCCAGTTTCCCCCCAAATTTATCAATTATTGGCTTTATAACTACATAATAAAGTGGTTTAATGATTATAAAGTTATAAATTCAGAATTGCAAACACACTTAGGAAATGTCTAGTTTAATGATGTTCAATGAGATACGTGAACATTTGAATTTTCTTGGAATTATTTGATTAAAAAAGTTTTTGAAGGTAAAAGTAATTATATGTTTTATTAGAAATATTTCAACATGCAATCAGTACAAGAATTAATTAGCCATATTATCATGTTATACTGCTTTTGAAATTCAGTGTGTATTTAATATTTGTAGCAGATGTGTATCAGAAGCCAACTTTTCTTCATTAGTAGTGGTTTCATAAAATTTAGCAGAAAAAGTAGATTTATTAATTTGCAGCAATAATACTTAAAATAATAGTTGAAAGTCAGATGCACTAGATTTATTTCCAGTGCTCAGAATCCACATATGAGCAGGTTCTGGGATGCTGGACAGAGCCAAGTTTAGCATCCTCAGTAGTGTAGCCACACTGTGGCTCTAACTCAGCTTGTCAAGAAGCTGCAGACCTGGGACAAGAGGTTTGTAAGGAGTTTAAGGCATATCATATCTGTAACACCAGGCTTTAAGAGCAGGATCACTTAAACATTACTCAGTGATGGTGCTGTGTTAGATTGTTTGGTTGTGTGAAGATTGGGAAGTATACCTGCACATACCTAGTCTCCTTCCCTGTATGCTATGTGGTACCTGTGATGTGTAGCTTATGGCCATGATGAACAAAAGACAGAATTAATCTGGTCCATGAGCAAATGAAGCAATAAGGAGTAGTAAACATGATATAATATACATGATGGGATATGGTCCATTGTCCACTGAAACCGTGTTGAACAATACCTGCCTATACTCCATTCTAGAAGGCATGGTGCTTGGTTAGGTGTATTGGTTGTTAGCATTTTAAAGTTCTCTAGATCTGGCTTTTTTTCATCTTTGTAGTTTTTTGCCTGTGACAGAACATTCCAGTACGAAAATGTTATAGACTTTCTAAATATATGGAATCAGGTATGAAAAATAATTACTTGGCATTGGGAGAGGAGATAAAATAGTGATATGCTAATGAAAGACATAAATGGAATCTTATTTTTAAACTTCTCATTGGCTATATTTTTCTAAAGTTGTATTGTGTAAAATATCAAAAAACTTTCTATACTGAAAACCAAGACCAAACAAGGAACAATGAAAACATATTGAAGCTGAAAGCAGAGGTTAAATAATTGCTTTCCTAAGACCGAAGCGTTAAGTTGCTGTTTCCTAAGAGGTGTATTTTAGGGTTTTCTCTCAGTACCACAGTTGATTTTCACTGCAGTTAAGCTATATGCTATTAATACCTTCACAGAAGCTCCATGTCTGCCTTTGTCTGATAGGCGAGTTTGAGTTTCCAGAATTGCAAGAGCCTCTCATCATTGTAACTTAAGAGGAAGCAGGAAACTGAAGTCTATGGTTAGATGACGTCCGGAAGTATTCTTAGCCTCTGGCTTTGAGGGAGCTGTTTTCCTTTTCTTGGATTTTGGTAAAGATATATAATTCAGTTCCATTAGAGAGAGTGTTCACAAAGCAACACCTGTCAAATTCCCACATCAATCCTCCCTAGAATTGCCAGAGGTTGACATGTCTGCAGGTTTGTCTCAAAAACTCTTTATTAGCAATGAGGAATTAAATTTCCTATGTAGACAAATTAACTTCTAAACTACAAGGAAAACAAACAATACACACAGGGGTAAGGTGGAGCCCTCTCATTCCAAGCCCGAAGTTTTCTCAAAAAGCCTTTCCCCTCTTCTGTTTCCTCGGTCCTTTCCACTCTTGCTGACACTCACCACCGGGTTATTACCTACTCCAGAGGCCTGCAGCTTTTAGGTAGCTCCAGATTCCAGTTAAAGAAGTACAGGTGATTACTAGAAAGTGTTTAAAAACTGCTTGGTTTGGGCAAGTCTTCAAAAGTAGGAAAAATCAGTAGGGTAGGCTGCAAATATGGTTTTAAGTAAAAGACTTCTTTGAAAAGACAAAATGATATGAATTGGCTTGGAGTAAATTAATATAGCAGTGAAAGAAATGAAAGAATCTGTTTTGTAAAGAAGCCAGCTTCATGGTCTTCTATGTTAAGTTTTATGTACTGGAATGTGTGTCACAGATTTTTCAAGTCTGGTCCTTTCTTCTGAAGTTGATAACTTTATATACACACAACTCCAGTCACATGAGAAGTGATAAAACAGAAGTTTAAAATTTATCCAAACATAAATATGCTCCCATGCTCACTTTATTTATTCTAATGGGTCAGAAAAAGAGGCAGACACTAATATTATAAGCAAAGTTAAGCTGCTGCTCCGTAAGCTGCTAAATTGAAGCATTCCTGCCTGAGGCAGAGGCAGTGCTGTGCCTCTGAGACTGTCTCCATCCACTGCTCTCTTTCCAGAGAGAGGACTCCAGAGTAGACTCTTGGTATTTAGAATCCATGAGTTTGCCTCTAGATTTATTTATTAATTTTCTGTGTATGGGTGTTTTGCCTACACACAGGCATGTGTACCACATGTGTGGCTGGTGTCCATGGAGGTCAGAAGGGGGCATTGGAGTCCCTGAAACTGGAATCATGGATAGTAGTGAACTACTACTGTGTGGAGGCTGGGGATGGAAACCAGGCCCTATGCAAGAGGAGAGCTGCTGAGCTAGCTCTCTAGTTCCATTTTTTTTTAAGTATGAGGAAAACAACAGTCCCTTCTGATATTAATATTTTATAGTTTGATAATTTCATAACCAGAAATGTTCAGGCAGAAAGTGAGCTCTGAATATTTATGTTTTAACCAGCCCAGAAAGGCTTTGGAGGAAAATCTTTGATTGTAAAAACAAAAACAAACAAACAAACAAACAAATTAAACCCCCAAATCTAAGACTAACAGTTTCCCTTCAAACTCTACTATTCTTTAAAAACAAACACCATTATGCCATACTCATGGATAATTATATTCTGATTAAGATACTGATTGGGTTGATTGAGACATAGCTCAGCAGTTCAGAGGTCTTCTGTTCTTTCAGAGGTCCAGAGTTCTGTTCCCAGCACCCACATTGGACAGCTCACAAGTGCTTTTAAGTCTAACTCAAATGCTTCTAACCTATTCAGCACCTGCACGCATGTATCCCTGCAATATACACATAACTAAAATTAAAAAAAATATAAAAGTATTGATTTGGGGGGAGAAGATATGAGTAGGTGTTTCCCATTTCCTTATAATAATTCCTAGTTGTAGAAAAAGATATACTTTGTACGTAGCATCCCTTCCTTCTTCCCATAAAACAATGTTTGGAAATTTCTGTGTTAAGCTAATTTGTCCACAGAAATATAAAGCCCTTTAATGGGATATCCAAAGCCCATGGGATTTTTTTTTTTAACAGACACCATGTGGTGCAATCTGTTACAGTCTACAAGGCAGGATGGGGTGGGGTAGGCTCTGCAGGGGCCAAGAATAAAGTCATCTGTGGGAATTTGTGAAGTATTAACCAAAATGGAGAAATGGCTCAGCTGCAGCCTTTAAGCACTTTCTCTCTGCCTTAAATTGTGTAAGCTTTATTAGATTATACTTAAAAAAAATACCCAAACCAAGCTAGCAAGTCACTCAATGTAGGGGCAAAAGAAAACACAAAGCCTTCCCCGAGAGGTTGCATTGCCATTCATTTTGTATTTTAATTCAACCTACTGGTGATTTAATTTACAGATCTCAAAGGAAGTGTGCACTCAAATATTTGAGGACGTTAACATATCAACCACTGTTTAATTTTGGAATGTTCCGGCTTACTTGACACAATATTTTACCAGCTAACAAATGTTTAGCCTTTTTTTTCACTTGACTAAAGAGAAATAAGTTTCACGTTGCTTCATTCACCTTTTTATGTGCATATGCTGGGAGACTGGATGTTTAAAAAAAAAAAAAACCTTCCTCATGTTCCTTTCTACATCTAAATCTGTTTACTGATTTGAAGCTGCTAAGAAACCTGCATTTTCCTGCTAAATCAACTGGATGGCTGGAGCCCAAACTGTAATGTAACAGAAAAAATTATCAATTTGTTTTCGTGACAGTCTTGAGAATGTATAAAATTGTTCTGGCCGCTAAGTCAGTGTTCCACTTCCTCCTCTCTGCCTCCTCTCTTAAGGATGCCTTCAGCTTGTAAGCTGATACTTTTTATAGCTATATAGCAGCTCTAATATTTTGTGACATTTTGTATTGTGACACTATAGATGAAATTGTCATCGGACTGACACCCTGTGCTGTTTATTCCTTAATTACAACTGTTAACACTGCAGAGAAGTGTGCTAATCTGCCAGCGCATATTATGAAAACAATGTTATTGTTACCCACACCAACACCCACTCAACAGGACATTTCCAAGATGGCAGTGAACAGGGACATGTTGCACAATGGACGCTTTACTAGTTTTCTGTTGTAGTGAAGGCTTATGTGCACTTTAACTTATTCTGTTGTCTTCTTTTAAAAACACAAATGACCTAAATTTCAGGGCTCATATCTGCAATCCCAGTATTCAGAGGCGAAAACAAGAGGATGGCTGTGACTTCAAGGCCAGCTTGGTCTACAGAGTGAGATGTTTATCTTAAAGGCAATACCAAAAAAAAGGAAGAAGAACCTTTACCACAATAAAACCACATTTTCAATTCCGAATAGTTCCCTGTGGTACAGTGCAGGCTCCTCTCCAGAAGCTGTCTCCACAGCTAGGAAACCATGCTGTTTTCTTCCCAGAGCCCAGGCAGCCAGTAAGGAAAGCAGAGACTCCAAGCTCTCCTGAGGGTTGTGACCCACAGCTTTCCAAGTTTATTTGTTTTAGTTTTAAGTTTTAGAGATAACGTTAAGAGAAAGGAGGGGGAGGGCGAGTTGACAGACAGCATTGAGGGAGAGGTATGTGTTTTCACAAGGTTGGTAATCTTCAAATAAGCCTGTCGGAATTCAGTAGCCATTCCCAGCTCTCATAGATCTTTTTCAAAGCCATCCCAAGCCCTCCCAAAACTGGCTCCATATTGAATGCTTTATAGTTAAGGACCTGGAGAAGTCTGTCTGAGGCGCACAGCCCCGTGGATCCATTTGCTGATAACCACTATTGAGCAAGAGCAGCTAAGCATGATGGAGTTTCACGTAAGCAAGCCAGCGCCTTGTTCCTGCTCCTCTTCCCATAGTGGATGATGGGAAACCATGACTCTAGGATACCAGCAGCCAACCTGTCTAGTTGAGAATGACGGTGCATATTTTAAGCAAACATAACACTGATTTAATAAACATTCTGCCTTACCACTAATTTTTAACACTTTTCTTGGCAAATCTATGACCACAGACCAAGGGTCTAGCCTGAGACTTTCCAGAGGACTCTCATACAGATGTTGTTGCCGAGGAAGCAATTTAACAATAGTAAACAATAACAAATAAAGCTTCTTCCCTAAGTTCTGCCATGACTTACATAGATTTATCAAATAGGGTTTTTTTTTGAAAGCATAGGAATAAGTTATGACTTTGCCTCGTTTTGAATAAATGGTGCCGCAGTTTGATTTGCAGCCCCAATTGGATACAGTGCTCTTCCTAAAAGAAACGGTTCCCATTCGGGGACATGTTCTTCTACTGATGCCCAGTAATGAGTCTGAAAAAAACAAACAAAGTAAGAAAGAATATCAAACAGTTGAATTTGGCTCTTCACAATAGTCTAAATGTTTATTATCATTAGTGTGTATGTGTGCAAGTGTACACACTCTCACACACATATATGTAGAATGTATTTCCTCTTCAGTATATTTTACGTTAATTTTAGGGGAAAAAACCTGGCTACTTACTAGAGTTAATTTTCAAATTTCTCAGCAAACCAGAGCCTGGCAGAATTAAGGTTTTAAATTTTATTGTGATTTTGCACGCCCTCTTGTGGCCAGCCTTGTGATTATTATCAGTACTGTCATTTATAGTACCTGTTATTAAATATTTTTGTCTACTATTGTACATTTCATAGCTGGGGTTATCCATAGTGAAATGATCACAAAAGATTATACATGAGCAATTTCCTTAGAATTAACAGGAGAGGATGTGATCTAGACCCAAGAATGTAATGACAAATAAAGGGCTTATAAGTTGGCTCCTCAAGGTGTCTGGGGTCTTACATATCCACATGTCTTTTAAAAGAATACTTTACATAACGAATTGTAATTTTTCTTAAATTTATGTGCTTGTGTACAAATGTCCATGTATGGTGTATGTGCACGTGTGTGTGCGCACACACTTATGGAAACAAGGATACTTCGAAGCCCCGTCTACCAAGCTCTGCCTTATAATCCCTTTGAGATAGTACCTTTGATCCTGGAGCTAGCCTGGCAATGGCAGTCCTCCTGTGTCTTGCTCCACAGTGTGGGGGTTGGGGGTGGGGGATGAGGAGTGGGGGGAGTGGTTAAGGCATTCGGGCCACACCTGGCTCTTTAAGTGGGTGCTTGGATCCAAATTCAGGTCTTCATGCTTAATCAGCAAGTGCTCTTACCTGCTGAGTCAGCTCTCCAGCTCTTTAGACTTTTATAATGAGAAAATAACTAGTTTAGTGTACCCATTTTGATGGAAATGGCTTACAAATTGAAATGCTGTATATGTCTGACCATTGTGGCCTACAGGCTGCCAAAATCCCTATACTGTTTGAAGGAGTGAAGGGGTGACCTCTAAAGAGGCCAAAGTTTGCATCATGGAATGGCATTTTCTATTGGATCAACATAATCAGTATTTGGGGGAGGGTAAGTCAGGGCTGAGTCAGATAGCACTTGGAACACATAAACCTTCACTCTGAGCTTGACAAAGGTGCAGTGGTTCTGCTGTTTGAAGATGGCGTGAGAGACTAAATATCTAAGAAACAGCTTGACATACTTGAGATAAAGGTTACCCCGCTGTGCCAGAGTAGCTCAGAATTCTATCCAAGGCCAGAGAAGGGGGAGGGGGCCTGTGCCATTCACGGCTGAATTAACCACTATTGTGTGGGCCCTGTATTTGCTTAAAATAAGGCATTGGTGAATTCAACAAAGGAGGACATACCCAATGCACAACTTTGAGCCAGAGTTTTTTCTGCATCTAATCACTGCTTTTCCTTGTTACCCTAAATGACACAGAAAATTGAGGGGCAGATTCTCAGCCTCAGACTTTTGAGTCTATTCTTATCCCCGATTGGGAAAAAAGAAAAATTACATCTGAGAAAGCTCATTAGAAGTAGAAAATGAAACTCTTTTCCATGTAGTGAATTCCCATCCACACAAACATATCCATATACCAAGTATGGCTCACTTTGCCAATCATCTTCCAATCTGCTTTTGAAATCTGAGCTAATAAAATTGTTTGTATTGTGTGATAAACATGGGGGTAGACGTTTTTTCTTTTTTCTTTTATCTTCCATTTTTTTGTTCTCTCACCATGGAGACTCACAGCAGTCTCCTGTCTCAGCCTTCTACCACGTTACATGCTGATGTGGCTTGCATCAGAACGGCTTTGGCTACAGCCTGGTCTAGGAACGCCGTTGCTCTTCCTTACATTTCCAACAAGCACTCCTTGGTTTGGCACCCTGTCATGTGAAGAGTCACAGCCTAGTGTCTGTTCTGGCTCATCAGGACAGTCGCTTCAATGTGACAGGACAAGATGTTTTATAACATTTTGCTCCATGTTCCCTGAGCCTTGGTGAATGGATACTGGTGTCCCATTCAGGATGGGCATCTCTTCTCAGCACTCTGACCAGTCCTGCAGCTGCACTGACTGCTGCCCACTGCAGAAAGAGGTTTCTCTGACAGAGGCTGACAGCAGTCAATGTCTATGGGTGTAAGCATAAATATTTGGAAGGCAACTTGACAGCATGCCCATTAGGAAAATAACACTATTCTAAGGCCTATGACCTCCATAGTCATGGACTTATGACCAGGATTCCAGTATCAAACAAGAAATTCCATCCCATGGAGCTGGTCTGAAATCCAATGAGAAAGCAGTTACCCCATTAACAGTTGTGACACTATTGTAGCAGGAGGAACGTCTTGCCTGGCAGGTTGGTAGTGGAGCACATAGGGTTCAGTACTAGGTAAGACCACGGATGTCTTTTCTCTCCCAGAAGCCTACATAGCACCTCCTGACACTGTGAAACCTAGGCAGCAGGGAGGAAGTTTCCTGTCAGTTTGAAATTAACTTTTCAATATCTAGAAGCCAAATGTGTGGTATCTTCAGCAATAGCATCTTATCATGCACTTATTGTAGGAAACTAAGGATGATGCCAGTAGCAATAGGCTTTGTTGTCTCAAAGACTTTGCAGGCTTCTTGACCAATAAGTCATAGGAAGCATCCAGTGTTTATTTAAAAGCTCATGTCTTCTGGAAATGACACTGTCTACCTCTGCAGGGCAATTCTATTTAGAAGAGGAGGCCAAAAAATGTAAAAGTCAGAGGGTGGCGATGAGTGCTTGAAATGCTGTCTTCTGGACATGACATGGCTATCACAGTCATGAGCAGGTAGTTGCTGTGGTTACATACACAGGATCAAGGCAGCCAAAACCCCAGCAGAGAGGGGAGCTATTGGTGGTGGATAACTGCTGGGGGATGGAGATTCATTCTTTGTTGAGGAGGTGGTAACTGGTAGGCTTGCCATGCTCCAGTGAATCCCTCATATCCACGCACATAGGGCAGCTCTAACTGGACTTAGTAGGTTATTTTAAAGGGGGTGTAGGGGATAGAGATAGCTATGATCTGTATTCCATCAGAGAACTAGGATGGCTGACAGGCTAAGACACTTGCCACTGAGCCTGACTACCAGAATCCACATAATGGAAGGAGAAACAACTCTCGCATATTGTCTCCCAACCTCCACATCTGTACCACAGCATGTGTGTATGCATGGAACGTGCACATGAAGCTGTGCTGTGCACATAAACACAAACTGGATGTAGATTTTTAAAAATCACCAATTCCAATTAGATACTTTTTTCATCAAAATATTTCTTGATTGCTAAGGACATATAAAACACTATACTGTGGACATAAAAATGTTAACCAATCCTTTATTGCTTATTTTATTGACTAAAACCAGGGCAATACAGCTGGGAAGCCCTTGTTTAACTTGCAGGAAACTTACAGTTGTTACTCTTGTTAGAGTTAACTTAAGAGTCTTACCTCAAGAGAAAGCATCGCAGGCTGTGGGTGTTGGGTAAGTTTGGTCTGAAAAGTCTTCTCTGCAGCGTCTATGTCCTGTAACAGACACCAGCATTTTAAAACTGAAATGTTTTTGCACATTACAACCACAGTGTCTGTACTCCAAGTCACTTCAGCCCTTTTCTGGATACAGTGAGTTCCTGCTGTAATGGAGGAGTACAGAGGTAGAGAACCTTATTACAAATCAAGTAATCCACTTCCACCATGAGTACAGGGTTTCTCATTTAACATGAGAACACTGGTGGTACTTCTATGTTCTACCTTTTACTTTGAATAACTGATAAATGACAGTAATTAGTTTGAAAATCAAAAACAAAAATGTTTCCTTTAAAAATGCTCAGAGCTGGGTGTGGGGAGGCATGCCCATAATCTCAGAAGTTGGGAGGCTGTGTCAGGAGGGCTGAGTTCAAGGCCAGTCTACACTATATAAGGAGATTCTTGATACAGAAATAAGTATAGCAAAAAAAAAAAATGATCAGAGCAATAATTGTATCAGCCTCAAGGCCTGAAAACAGGCAAAGTGTAACAATAATGAATCACTGAGATGGAAATTAGACCCTCAGACTCACACTATGTAGTGAAGAGTTTGGGCTCTACAGATATGTACCTGGCACAGAGATGGCACATAGTTTATCAGTATCCCATGTAAAATGTTGTACCATGCAAACATTTTACATAGTTATGGCTCTTTAATGAGTTATCTTGCTACTGAGCTTTTAAAAATATTCTACTACATGTGTCTAACTTTTTGACACTTTGAAACATCTACCAAGGTCATGTTTGAAAACTACATGATCAAGTTACAGTCCTTCCCATTTCCTAACGGTTTACGTAAAAGCTTGCAATTTGGCCTTTGGCTGTAGCATAGCTATCCTTGACCCTGTGCAGCCCTCAGGCTGTGTGGTAAAAAGCACCTACAGGTCTTTAGGACTGGATTTTCATGTTAACTTAAATGGGAAGTGCCATTGCTAATGGGAAGTGTTATTGATACACAGTACACTGCTTAGTGGATGGTATTTACCTGTGGGAGGTGTCATTGCTAGGCAGTACATAGCTTGGTAGATGACATCCACCAATGGGAAGTGTCACTGTTAGGCAGTACATAGCTTGGTAGATGACATTCACCAATGGGAAGTGTCATTGTAGTCAGTACATTACTCAGTGGATGGCATCCAAGAACCACCCAAATTTGTAGTTTAATTTCCAGATGAGCATATTTTCTTCTATGGTTATAAAAACAGCATCGCAATTAAGCTTAACCTAGTATAATTTTTCCTTCCTTACACACCTTAAACACACGCACAGAAATGTGGAGCTCTGCATGTTGTTACAGAAGCATTTGAGTCTGGCTAAGAAACGCTCTCCACACCAGCAGCACTGCTGTCTAGAGCACACTTACTGTCTTAGGTTCACAGAGGTGTGGGTGCAAGGCTTGGCACATTCTGTGTCTCCTCTGAGCTTAGTGAATTGCTAGCACAAAGTTCCCTTGATCCATGCACACGCATCGGAGCAATCTAAGTAGAGGGCTGTTGGACAGACGGCGAGAAATGAAGAGGGCGTGGGAGTGGGGTGTGAAGAAGCCAATGCTGAACAGGAGAAAAAAGATAGCAGATGGTAGCGGCGGGAGCAAGGGATGGGTGTGAAATGTAAAAAGGAAAAACAGGAAATTCCCTAAAGGGACTCCCCAAAGTTGCACAACCATTAATGCACCTGCTGTCTAGGGGAAGGTGATTTGAAGGAAAAATACACAATTCAGGGATATAAAAACTGATGTTAGCATGTCTATCCCCTACTAGAAGTTTACAGATAAGATGCATGTTAAAGACACATGCTGATGCCATGACAGATACAGAGGTATGACTATCCTATGATTGTTTTATTGAGATTTTACAAGGTTTGTAAAAGTTATAGTTTATTGTTAGTAATCCAGCAAATAAAACACAGAATAATTGTGGCCTCAGATCTGCCAGGACTCTGAGAACAGGTCCACTGGTGCTGTCAGGGCCAGATCTGGTGGACACTTAGCTCTGATATCATCAGGATTTTTCTTGAAGACAGGAAAGAAGGACACTTCATATCTTACAGAGAAGTAGATGCTCAAACAAAAGAACAGACACCAGTGGAGGCAGATCCTGCATCTACCCACACCACTGCATCACTGAACGTTTCCTTAGCACTTAGGTGACCCCTCCTCCTCTTCAGATGGGTTGGTTTTCTTCCTTTACTTCTAAGTATGGCTTTCTTAAGATGTGTGACATCTGCCTTCCCATGTTTACTCTCTTCCTTCGTGACTGCCTCTTACCAGCTTGAAGCACTACTGTAGAGAAGGGCTAGACTTCCACCTTGGCTTTCACGGATCTACTGGGTAAAGCCCTTCATTGACTGGGCTGCATGGGGCTGGGGTCTGAGCAGCCAGGGGCTTCTGCTGCACTCTCATCTTCATGCAACCTCACTCCTTGCTAGCATGACCACAAAGCTAGACTGCCCTTTACGGATGCCTTCCATTGTCTCTGCTTCAGTCCCAGTGCCAAAGTCAGATTACTGACACATGGTATATATTCTCTTCTATGTGCACTTAAATAGTCACTAAAAGGATAACCATATTTGCAAAGTTTCTTGAGCAAACTCAGAAACTTAAAAAGAAGCAAAACAAAACAAAAACCAGTGCTGAAGATGAGTGAGGAAAAGTCCAGGGCAGAGAGCAGGAGCAAGTTGGACTTATTTGTCTGTAAATTGTCACTCTGTCTTACAGATCTGCTACTAGACCCTTAAAAGTCTGAGTAATGCCTGGTTTTTGGTATGGCTTGATATGACAGGGCTGTTTGATATCCATGGGAGCTTCCCCTTTTCTGAGGAGAGGCAGAGAAGGGGTTGGGGGAAGGGGGAGAGGCCTGGGAGGACATGAGGTAGGAGAAACTGTGGCCAGGGTGTAGAATACATAAATTAATAAAAAAAAAAGACTGAACAGTTAGAGAAGCATGAAAAAGCAAACATCAGAATTTGGCAACCAAGCAAAACAGATGTACTATATTGGCGGCCCACAACCATTAGCTGCTCTTTGAACATAGTATTGACTGAACTTCTCTGGTAGGACAAGCCCTGGAAACAAAGTATCCTACTACAAAGCACTTCTGGTGGTCACAATGGTGGCAGTAGTGATGTCTGTATCACAGGACAGTCACTGCAACAGTTGTCCTTATCCTTGGTTTTGATATCCAGTTTCAGATTGCACGGCTGACAGTGGACTGCTGCAGATAGCAAATTGAACGTTGGGGCCTAGAGGTGCGTCTCCATAGTACAGAGTGTGCTAGCACAGCATGCATGGGCCTTGATAGCAATCTCCAGCTTGGACATGGACATCAGAAAAAGCAACTAACAAGGTTTAACTTGTGCATCATTCTGAGTGGCATAGTAAGATTGCATGACTTCCCCTCTGTTCACCTTGGGTTGCATACCATCTCCGTCAGTATGTACACAGGATGTCAGTACACTACCTTGGTCACGTGGCAGTTGTCTGGGTTGTTCCATCAGCCTTTGAAGTATCACAGGGCTTGTGTCTATGTGACCCTTGTATGATAGGGCGAGTATGTGGTCACTAGCCCCACTTTCATGCCATCACAGAGGCACATGTTTACACCATAGGAATGGGGAGTACAAGACAGCCCCTGGAACTACGTCACCCAGTTTTGATTAGAATATAACCATCATACTTTATTATTGCTAGTTCTTTTCCAGGTCATATAAATTAAGCCTCATTATAAGTGTAAATATGAGTGAACATTGTACATATTCATGGTTCCAGATGTCTGGCGGGATGTCTTGGAGCCTAAGCCACAGAGATTAGGAAGATTACTGCATACAGGTATGTGGTGTTGGGGAGCTCTTTGAGGACCAAGCATTTGGGTTTGTTTTCCAAACAGGGTTTCAATCTGTGGCTCAGGCTTGCCTCAAATCACAGCAGTCCTGCTTCACCTCCCAAGATTACAGGTGTGAGCTGTCACGCTCAGTTCAGAACTGAGGTTTCTGGCATAAGGGCAGAAAATTAGGGGCACAAAAATCAATGGTTTTAAGTTAAAAACCTTGCAATACTTTAACTAAATTGGAATTACTGATAGGAGTTCTTGTTGTATCTTATCTCAAAAAGGAAAATCAAAGAAGTTGCAATAAATAGTCCCAGTGCCCAGATTGAGAGCTCTAAATATATTTCCTGCCAAAAGGAGCCAGAGCTCCTTGAAGCAATGACCAATTCCAAGTCTGGATGGCAGATACAGGGAGCCTGCAAGAACCCGTCAGGTCAGAAAGAGAGAAAACTGTCAGAGACTGTTACTAGATGGTATCAGCATCTGGGGATGACTTAGAGAGCCTTCCATTTGGTAAGAATGGCCTATTCCAAGTATAAGGAATAAGTCACAAAGAGCTGAAACATTTCAGATCTCAGATAAATTAACAGCAAAGCAACATCTCACAAGTCACTGTAGAGGAATGGTGGGAAACTGGCTTGTTTTAAAACCTCAGAGCAGGGATTGAAGACATGACTCAGTGGCTTGGTTCCCAAATCAGGTATCTTACAAGGGCCTGAAACTCCAGCTCCAGGGAATCAGATGCGCTCTTCCGGCCTCCATGGGTACCTGTACTCCTGTGCATAACATAACTAAAAACAAATCTTTACAAAATAACTAAATACAGGGCAGGAATTGTGGCTTAGTAGTCACCTAACATGTACAAAGGCTTAGATTTGATACCCAGCTCTGAAAAACAAAAACAGCTAAATTCACGAAAGGAATCAAGCATTCGGTATACTGTTTCTGCCATTAACTACACATTAGTAGGTAACTGACATAGAGCCGATTTTCTTTAAACAAATAAAAATCAGAAGTCAAGTGAGAAGGAATAAAATAACAAACACAAGTTTGACTTTTTTTCTTTCTAAACTTGCTGTGTTATGTTGGGCTAGCCTAAATTTGCTTCATTGATGAGACTGGCTTGAAACTTGTACCAAGCCCCTACTGGTACCTCTGTGTGCTTGGCCTATAGTCTTTAGAATATTTCTAGTCAGTGATCACCAACACTGGTGTGCTCTTGATCTAAACATCAAACTCAAACTTGGTGACATTCTCGATTTCCAGTCTTAATACCCTTATCCAGTAGCCTAACCTACCAGGGCTTGAAGTACAGCAGTTGTTAGTTACAATGCTTAATTTTTATACTTAAGCAAAAAATACAATCCAAAATTTGAATGCTAGAGAGAAAAAAATATTTTTAAAGCAAACATTTACAATATCTTATAATGACTTCAAAAATTAACTTTGTCTCATGTTGGATTGTATGGTTCTGGGGATCCAGCCCAGGCCTTGTGCATGTAGGTTCGTTCAGCTGCTTCTCTTGTCTTTATTAAAAGTAGTTTGTACCTGTCGTTGGCCATTCAGGTGACAGTTTGCTAAGTTCCTACTCAACTGCTAACTGCTCCGTGATGACTTCTAGGCTGTCCTCAGTAGAGACACCCATTCTAATTCTGACTGCAATGCTTTCCTATCCTATCTTTGCCTGCAGGGCTGTACAGCTTTCCTGTGAGACACTGAGACCACAGAAAGGCCTTGCTGTGTGAGGCTGTTTTTTGGGAGAGGAGCAGGGAGAGATTACACTTTATAACACAGAAGTATTTATACGAACAAAATCCTCTCTGTCCTCTAACTGCACACCAGTGATGATTGTTTTTAAGGCTGATATTCTGTTTGATACTAATAGGGAAAAGACACTATGCCAGCATTTTTAAAGTGCATGATCTTTTATGACAATTATTGACTGAAAGTTGACACACAATTGTCTTGCTTGAGAGTCAGTTAATTTACTAAGATGTCAAATATTTTATGGGGTTAGTCTTTTCCTTATGTCTCCTTTAGAAAAAAATTTCCTGCATTTGATACTGCTTTTTGAAAAATAATTTTAAACTAATGGACATTGCACATGTCACTACATTCTCTTTGTACCCATCCCTTTCCTCTGCACTCCCTCTCTTCCCTCTTGCTGGTCCTCTTCCACCTGTCTCACTTCTGTTTTCATCTTACCTATCCATACTAGTTTGTCTTTCACAAATGAGTTCACAGAAACGTTATCACATTCACTGAAAATTTTGTTAGGATCAAAATATATGTATAAATAACTTTGTGATGAGTGACTGTGGGTACATAAGAGTCTTCCTGGTGAGAATGAGGGAAGACATGTCAAGTTCACTTTTATCTATTTTTAAACCTTTGAGAAACATTTAATGTTAAAAATAATTTTTAACCTTTCAATTAATGTAACAGACATGCTATTTAATGTCTTTCCCATAAACTATGACTTGCAGCACAGGCCTGTAATCATAGCTTCTCAGGAGCTCAAGGCAGGAGGATTATTGTTTGTACATTCATCTTCTGTCAAGGCAACAAAGTAAGTTGAACATTCTGGGAAACTCAGACCTTACTTCAAAAGGAAAAGCAGGCCCATGGAATGGCTCGTGGGCAAGCATGCTTGAGGATTGGCTGAGACCCTGAGTCAATCTCTAGAACCCACATGGCAGACTGAGAAAAATCTCTTCCACAAATTATCCTCTGACCCTCACAAAAATCTGTGGTACCCTCTTCCTCAATATATAAATCAAATAAAATAAGGGCAGGGGATATAGTTCAGCAATGGAATGCTTGCTTAGGGTTTAATCCAACTCTCCCAGACCCCTCTTCTACATATGCAATACCTCTCTTGGGAAACAGAAAGCAGTTTTCTGGTAGAGTGTGCATTTAGCATACACGAGGGCCTGGGTCTATTCTCTAGCACCCTATCTCCCCAGAAAATATCTCTCAACACAAAATTCTAAAAGATTCAAATTCTCTTTATCTTACTTTTACACAGTGATTTCTATATTAGTACCATTGATGCTGCTTTGAAAGTTTTTTTTAAAAACGACAGCAACACAAGATTTAAAAACGCATATATAATTAAAGTGTATCAAATAGAGGCAGGGAAGAGATGATGCCTAGCAACAATCACCATGCCTGCAATGCAGTAAGTGATCAATAATGAGTAGGATACTATGAAGACCAGCATTTTGTCCTTCTGGTTTCTTTTCACTACGACAGTCTAGAAAATTCCAGCACACTAAACTTTTTTTTCAGTTATGGAGTTCCAGTGCATTCCCTTCTTTATATGCTGATGTTCCTGAATTTATGATGGATTACGTGGATTTTACTTACTATACCCAATCTATAGAACTTTATAAAATGTAAAACTGAACATTACATATATATGTATGTATATATATGTAAATATATATTACATACAACTTTATATAAAACTGAATTTTATAAAATTCTTTTATAAAATATAAAAGAAAATATAAGGACACTGGGTTGATGGCTATTTTTTAGCTTCTATCCTTACCTCTATTAAAGAATAGGTTCTCTATTCATTTTAAAAAATTAATTCTTATGTGTATATGTGTGTTTCTGAGTCTATGGTTGTGCACTATGTGTGTGCAAGAACTCTATGGGGTCAAAAGAAGTGTCAGATCCCCTCAATCTGAACTTATGGATGGTGGTGAGCAAGCATGTGGGAACTGAGGATTGATCTTGGTCCTTGGGAAGAGCACCCTGTGCTCCTAACCACTGAGCCTTTTCTCCAGCCTATTTCCCTATTCTTGCATCATCTAAGAAGAAAATCTATCTTTCTTAAGTGTGTGTGTGTGTGTGTCTGTGTGTGTGTGTGTGTGTGTAGCAGGAAGCTTAGAGATCACATATCAGTTGCATGGAGGAAGCAAGGAGTGCACACAGGAAGTGAGGCCAGGCTATAAACTCTTGAAGTCCCCCTCCACCCCTCAGTGACATACTTCCTGTACTCTACCCAAACAGCACCACTAACTGGACACCAAGTGTTCAAACACATAAACCTATGAGGAACATTTGTTATTCAAACCATTACAGTCTCTGAACAAACACAACTTTGTGTCCTGTGAATTCTCAAGCTAGTTAGTTCATAATCCCACTAACATCTATAAGGCCACTCATCTTTTTGTTCTTGACTGTTTTTTTTTTTTTTAACTTAAGAATCCAGTAGAATGTTTTGATTATTTAAATACAGGTGAGGTTTGGCTTCACCTCAGAGGTCTCTCTACTAATATTTTTTACATTAGTTCTGTCTCATTAATTATGTCTAATATTCAGAATAAAGAAATTACACCAAAATCATAAATTCATGCAAGATGTTTTGGAAAGGTGTGGAAAATCTCTATCTTAAAAAAGCCCTCAAGCACATTTTCACTCTTAATCCCATAGTCTCTATTCTACTCCGTGTAATGTAGTATCTGCTCATAGAGAGTGTCAGTCTTTGGTGAAAAGGAACTCAGTCTGACACCCTCTAATCTGCAACCTCCTTGAAGAAAGAACTCCGATGTAGATAGCACTGTTTTCTCCACTTTCAGCTCCAGGCATGCATCAGATGCTTGCTCATTTAAAGGAAACCCCTTGAAAACCAAACAGCACACCACTTGCTCCAGGTAGTAGCAATCAAGTCTTCCAATTTAGTTTCTCTAACTTTTCACAGCAATTTCCAGAGTATCCTATATATTTCCATTTAAAAATAAATATTGTTAACACCATTGGGCAAGTAAGACATATGGCAATATAGAATGCTTTGGTAGCACTATGGCTGTGACTTAAATTACTGTGGATCAAACTGCCAGAAGCTGAGAAGATAACTGAATTTTCCTCTCCCTTTATCCTGTAGTGAGGATAGAAGATAGCTGTATCATGCCTATCGATGAAAATATTTAACAATAAAAACTGAAAACACTGCTTTATAACTTAAATAATATAGTCTTACTACCAAATGTTTTAGTCATAGGATCTCTTGGAAGCTTGAATGGAAGCAAACTCTAGGGTTTTAATTATGGATGAAGCCACACAATTCTGGAAGCATAGTATAGCAAGCAGCCAAAAATGTTACACATATGATTTTATTCCAAATGGGCACATTGGCCAAATGGTGAGGCCCTATGCAGTCATACACTTTGACCACCTACTCCATAACCACCCAAAGGAGTCTGGGAAATGAGCTCTCACACAATGAATTCTGTGTGTTTACTGTGGAATTAGTTGGGCAAAATCAAATGGTTCATGTTTTTGTGCTGTTTCATATTTGAGTTGGGTCTAAACATATCACACACGTCTTTGCCGTCCTTCCTTGAAAGGAAAGAGTATGAAAAACGTAAAGATACGCTTTCTGCTGCTTCTTGCACAAAGGTGACCTTAATATTCTTCCTGTCGTCATTGATTTTTTTGGTTGACAGAAAAAAAATTAGCTTATGTAAACTTCACTTTTTTTCACTTTCAAAAAAGCAAGAATCCATATGCTATTTGCCTAACTAACATGGGCTTGAAAAGACATTGGCTCATTAATTCTGCTAGTTACTAAAAACAGAGTACGAAGTGAGTCAAAATTGTGAGATGCATGTAGATACCTTAGGACAGTGGAAAACATCTACTCCCAAGTCCCGGGAATTACCTGCAAGAGCCGGAGGTTCCTTCGAGAAGCAGTCTCAGCGGCTTGGAGGAGAGATGCCCTTTCCGTGTTTTGATCTCCAAATTTATTTTTCATTTGCTGAAGTAACACTAATCTTTGTGATACTCTGGAAAAAAAGTGAAGATTATATAAAGAGGAAAAAATTGAAGAGCAAACATTTTATTGCTTAACCAATATATAACAACATTTCTTTCTTAATTGCATCTCACCTCAGCAATGACTTATTGAAAACCAATTATTATATCAACTAATGAGAAAATGAAGAGAGTAGAGAGTTTACTGTATCTTAAGTCAATCTGGGTAAAATTATTTTTGTTTTCATTACCATATACTTCCCAAATGCCATAAGTATATGCCTCTGTTTTTTAGCCACTGTGGTCTTCTGAAATTATTGTAGAGTGTTGAAGATATGTAATTTTTGGTGAAAATGCAAACTGTAATACATATCTCCTTGTACACATAGTTATATATACCTCCCCACACATATACATTGCTATAACTTGCTATAGGAAACCTTCTGCTTAACACTTCAGTACCCCTGAATCTCATGTTACACATTTAGAATTGTGCTAAACTTCCATATGTTTGAAGAAGCAATAAAAATATTTTTTATCTCTTTTTCCAAGAGAAAGATGATGGTTTGATATATGACTGAGAAGCAGTATATATGCATGCATGCTTACAAGGTAAACTAGTGTTTGAAGAGAGAAGAAAAGCTATGAGTAAATTCTTTAACTATTTCATTATATATAACACACTTGAAAATTTTTTTGTTCATTTTTAGAAGTTTGTAGGTTCCTTAAATGATGAGAATTATGTACAATAATGAAAAATATATAAGTGGTATACAGAAAACAATGTAATTAAATAAGATAATAAATAAACACTATTATAAATAACTGTTTTATATGGATGTCTTGAATGTAGAACTAAAAAGGTCAATGAACATTTGTTTTGTTTTTGTTTTTATGAAAACAGTGACCAACAGAAAGCCAAAGAGCAAGATCTGGTAATTAAACAATAGGAAAATCTGAGAGCCCACAGATAGATGAATATTAATATTAACTATAAGACCATGGCTACCAATATAATATGCTGGATTAAGTGCAAAATGATTAAAGACAATGGCATTAGAACATTCAAGCAAGTGCAAAGCCCATGACTATATAGGTCACACTCCATGAGCATAAAGCCAGCTCTGGAGAAGAATTTTCAAGAAATCTACTGAAAGCCAAGCTTGGAGCTAGAGCTACGGCTCAGAAGTTATGGGTTCTTTGCTGCTTTTCTTGATGACTTGAGTTTAGTTCTCAGCACCCACATAAAGCAGCAATCAACTGCCTCCAAGTCTTAGCTCTAGGGGTTCTAGTGCCCTCTCATCCTCTTCTGTGCTGACTGGCCGTCTATAGTCACACATGGATATTCACACACACATACACACACATGTGGTGCACACCTGTGATTATATAATTGAAAGTATTTAATAAAGGTCTAAATTTTTATTTTATTTTATTTTATTTTATTTTTTTAAAAAAGAGCCAAGCAAGGTGGTAACTACCCTTACATCAAGCATTCAGGAGACAGAAGCAGAAAGATCCGGGGTTCAAGCTCAGTGTTGTTTGTGTAGAAAGTTCAAGACTAGTTTGGGTTACATGAGACCCTATCTCAGAACCCCTGCCACCACAAAGTTTCTATTAAATACAATGTGAACCTTAGAAAGGGTAAAGGAAGGGGACATTTTGATATTAATGTGTAATAGTAAATAGATATATGGATGCTTAGAACATAATTGTGCCTTTTACTCTCATTTTTGAGACAATGAAATTATCTACAATAACATCTCTTGTCAGAAAATGACACTTTCACATTGTTAAGCCTCCCTATGCATGTTTCACTAATAAAGCTAGCATGCACTCCGTATTTGGAGTATCTTTTTCAAAAACTTACATTTCTTCATGTCTTTTAGAAAGGTGAATTTCTTGAGTAAACAAGGAAGTCATCTTTAATCAAAGCTGGGCTATAAGTTTTCTGCTAAATAATAAAAACACTTAAGTTATCTTCCCCTGTGTGTTCAGCTATGCAATTTGATTTTAGTACTGAAACAACACATTGTCTCAAGTGAAAACTGACAATTTCAGGTGTAATGTGAAAGAATGCACTCAAACAGATTTTTATTAATGATATTTTTCTTGTTTCTTTCTCTCCTCTTCTCTCTCTCTCTCTCTCTCTCTCTCTCTCTCCCTCCCTCCCTCCCTCCCTCCCTCCCTCCCTCCCTCTCTCTCTTTCTCTTTCGAATATGCCAGATTCACTCAATACACTATGGATCGGGTAAACTCAAGACACTTCATATTTTCTACCTCCGTCCAAGCTCTAATCTTAAACAGAATTTCAAGAAATAAACAGCTGGTACTAAGGCTAATGGACATTTAATTTTAACAGACAGAAAGAAAAATCTATAAAAATTCAACACAGGAATATCACCCCTTACACATGTACACAGACATAGACAGAAAGGCAAACAAGAATGAGAACCAACTGGGAACTCATGGCCTTGCCTTCAGCAGAAGATTGCCCAGTTCTACCATGACCCTTCCAAACAAGGGGAGTATTTTGTCATGGGTAACTTGAAAATCTCAATTAAGTCCTCTCACCGTATCCTAGCAGGAAAGCACTCTCATTTGGAGAGTTTCTATGGCTCACTACACTAGGCTTAGCCTCCCCTTAACTAAAGAACTTATACCAGTATAGATGGTGGTCTCAAGAAGTGCTCTGAAAGCCTTAGGCTGAAAAGCACAAAAAGGAGACAAACAGAACACAGACGACATGAAGGTGGCTCTCCTAAACTTTCTGAAAGGAAACGCTCGTCCCTGAACCGTTCAGGGTCGGATGCTAACAGGAAGCCTGAGCTCTGGGTCAGCACACAGCACAGGGGCCTGCCTGGCTCCTTCTCCCCGCAGGGCAGCCTCCAGCCCTGAGGACAGCCGCCCGTGTCACGCCCAGCTTCCTCGCCTTCCTCCCAGTGTTGCAGCCGAGTAGAGCAGCATCCGGGCGCCCCTGGAAAGTCACTCCTGCTCACTCTCTTCCTCTCCTTCGGGAGCACTTAAAAACAAACAAACAAAAAACTCTGCCTTTTGAAGTGTGGAAGCGCCCATCGGACACCCCCCCCCCAATCCCCGCCTTTCGTCCCCGGAAAACTCTTAAAAAACCTTCCTCATCACCTGGCTGTCCCCTCATTAGCTTCCTCCTTATCAACCCTCTGGCCTCAGGGGCCACGGGCTGTGACCACACTGCGCCCACCTCTGAGCTCTTCCGGGAACGCGCCATGGACTACGCTTGCGCAAGACCTGGGCGTGGTCAGGCAGCCATCTTTGCGTACTTTACGCTCCTGACGTCAGTCGGCATCTCAAATACAGTGTGGCTGGGCTCGGGTTCGGGCTCGGTCACGGGCTCAGACTCGGGTACCTCAGAGAGGATGAGACTGTGGAAGATACCCAAAAGGGGCCTTAGAAATCTGGAGGAAAATCTGGTGATAGCTCAAGCTTTTAAAAAGTGGGCTCTGCATATGTTAAAAAGCCTGCAGGGAGTACAGCTGGCTTCCTGGAACCTTGCAATGTTCCAGTAGTTTGTATAGAAGTGGGAGGTGGGGGTTGGGGGGGTCTGTCCAAAGACTTGTCATTAGGTTTGTTCATCCGAGGTCTGCAGAGCAGCCTGTGCCTGGGGTCGCACACAGATCAACACAGCAAGTTCACAGCCTTCTGTTGTTTAGCCCCAGGGCACTCCTCCCATGTGCAAAAGTGTGCCCTTAAACATCATTGTATTCCTTGAAAAAACTTTGTGAGCCGGGCAGTGGTGGCCCACGCCTTTAATCCCAGCACTTGGGAGGCAGAGGCAAGTGGATTTCTGAGTTCGAGGACAGCCTGGTCTACAGAGTGAGTTCCAGGACAGCCAGGGCTACACAAAGAAACCCTGTCTCGAAAAACTAAAAAACAAAAAACAAAACAAAAAATAGAAAACAAAACAAAAAACAAATTTGTGAGAATGTACTTCTGTTTGTTCTCAGTTTATAGAAAAAGAAAGTCAGACTAACAGTTACTCAGCTGGTAAAGAGTAAAGAGAACTTGAGACAGACTGTTTCAGCCTGTTTTTCCTCCTGTTACCTACATTAAATTTAGCACCCAGTTTAGACACTTTTAACTCAGTGTTTCCTTTATTTTGAAAGCCTCTTTTCTACACACTTAGGTGTCTTCACTTCTTTATGTCTTTTTGTTTTGCTTTTCTGAGACAGGGTCTCACTATGTAAACCAGGCTAGTCCTTGAAATCACAGGTCCCCGCCTCTGCCTCTGGTTCTGAGATTAGAGGCATGGGTTATGATACTTGCCTCTTCATGTCTTACAATGCTAATTTTTCAATAGAGGCATCAGTTCACTCTCAGTATGGGACTTCCCACTACCCCAGCTACATTTTTCTCCACATTTTCTCCACAACAAAGAGCGTTTTGTGTTCTGTAAAGTTCCTTTTAAATTTTGGGGTGTGTGTGTGTGTGTGTGTATAGTGTGCCACAGTGTATATAGGTGCCCTCAGAGGGCAGAAGACAGGTTTAGATCCCCTGGAGACTTTATTAGAATGTTGTGTTGGGAACGCTTGTCCTCTGGAAGAACAGCCAGAGGTCATAACTGCTGGAGCCATCTCTCTCCAGCTTCAAGAAAAATATTTTTGACATTGATTTATTACTGTGTATTTTCTAACTGAAAGAATGGAATTCTTTTGCCAGGTGAAATTTCACCTGATTTCCAAGCACTATGTCTTTGCTTGGCAAATCTGTTTAGTTGATAAACTGCTCCACCCGCTTCCCTCTTTAAAAATAGACTCTTGAATGGTTTTGTGTTCTGGGCTCATATATGAATAAAATAGAGCCTTTGCATAATTACAAGGCAGTCTTGTTTGTTTTGTAGAATTAACAAATAATTTTTCTTAAACTGTTTTGGACTACATGAGCCGACATTCTATTAAAATGTTTTCATATTTATTAAGACAAACTTTATGTACCCTCATGCTTTGGGCAACTTTGCATAGCAATACAATTGGGAGAAACAACAAGTTTTCTTCAGCGCCCCTCCTTTTTGAGTCATTGTCTGCCGTACTGTAGAACCAAGAGATAACATGTACATTTTGCAATCTTTAGGAAAACAGTAACCAGGAATGTATCACAGAAACTTAAGGATTATCTAGCTATAGTTGGATCATGTATAGCAACCCATAAAAGTGTTTCCTCTCTACTTAAAGATCAGCTGTCATAACTCCTCTCATGACAAATCACACTGGTGAGCCTTTTCATGAGACAATTAGCTGATAAGGACAAATCTCTGGCAACCACATAGTGCATCAATTCTTATAGTCTGTATTTTATTAGTTAAGTCTGGATGTTTTCTAGAGTGAGATACTCCTACTCTACACTGAAAATCATCATACTTGTCTAAATAGCAACTGGTCCATTGTGGGGTATTCTTCTGTACATGTGTGGTGAAAGTAATGTTTCCTAGTGCTGATTCTTGCTTGCCCCAGGTTATTGTATATAATTCTTGCCTTTACTGTATAGGATTTTTTTTGGGGGGGAGGGAATGTGTGTGTGTGTGTGTGTGTGTGCGTGTGTGTCCGTGGAGACCAGAAGAGGGCATCGGGTCCCCTGCAGCTGGAGTTATAGGTGGTTGTGAGTGGGGGTTTGCTCCTGGGAACTGGACTTAAGTTCTCTGGAAGAGCAGTAAGCACTTTAACCACTGAGCCATCTCTCCAGCTTCAGAAGTATTGCCTTTTAAGTTGCATATTCCGTAAAGGTATATGTAATATAGCATATGACCCTTAAGAGCCTAAATTGTCTGAGCTCTCAAGATATACACAAAAATGCCAGAGGATGGCAGCTGACAGCATAAAATGACTAATAGTTATTACATGTTCATTCTGTAGCAGGCTGTGAACATGGATTCCACCTAATCTTAAACAAGCAAAAGTGTGACCTCATACTATTATGGTAGCTAAAGAAATTGAGACTCGTAGAAATGACTGGGTCATGATCACACTCACTGCAAATGAACAGCAGCGAGCTTGTTAGAAATGTTTCCCATAAACGACAATATATTTCTTTAATGGAATGAGAATATTAAAAATAAGCCATTTCTGGTATTAATCAGGAGTTATGAGGACGTTTGAAATTTCTTGCTTTACCTCATGGTTACAAGATGGCTATTGTAGTCATTTTTGGCAGTTTCAGTACAGTACCAGTTGGCTTTTTTGACTTTTGGGTCTGTGGTTAAACAATACATTATGACGGGGACAGGGAGGGAGGGAGGGAAGGAGGGAGGGAGGGAGAGAGAGAGAGAGAGAGAGAGAGAGAATGAATATGAATATGTAACTAAGCGTCTAATGTGGACTGTATGGTTGGTCATAGATGAGAGAGTGCTTTGAGCTGATTAGTCTGGGCAACATTTTGGAAAACTGAAGTAGACTTGGAAAATTTAGTTGGCTTTAGTAGTCTCTCTTTGAGGTTGACTGTTTCAGGTGGTGAGAGAGCGTAGTGGTGGTAGTAGGTTTTCTAGGGGGAAGAACAGTTTGTACAGAAGTGTGTGTGTGTGTGAATGTGTCTAGGCTAAGGCTCAGGGGGTAGAAAACATTGAGAATTCTTTCTTCTAATTTTTACCAGTCTTGTAGATTGTATCTCGGGTGCTAGAGTCTTGACAGTAGTAGACAGAAAGATTATTACAGAGAGTGAGTCTAGAGAACAGAGAAAACAAGGAGGTTGATGAAAATGGCAGAGCAAGAACTTTATATTGACTATTTCCAACACTCCATGGTACTAACAGGAAATTCTGGTGTATATTTTAATCCAGAGATTCACCAGAAAAACCAACTCCACCATTTGGGGCCAAATTTCAAGCAAGCCTTATTAAATATTGAACACTAAGAGCTGGAGTTCAGTCAGGAACATTCCCTGGAATTTCCCACCCGAAAATACTGCATGGGTCGCAGGGGGTTATGAGAACAAACTTTTACAGCACAGTACTTTCCCTGAGGCCTTATTTATTTATTTATTTATTTATTTATTTATTTATTTTTAAGAACTACAACTCCCAGCGTTCCAAGGAGTTACCTGATTCCTGGGCAGGTGGGGCTTACAGGTTAATTTTGGACTTTTGTGAGACCAAGGTGGGAACAAATACCTCATAGGTTGAAATAAGACCAACATAGAAGACATACCTTGCAGGATGAAAGTTCTGTTTATAGTTAGAACAGTTTGTTTGGTGCTAAAATCTAGCTAAGAGATAAGTTGGTTAGTTCGTTTGTCAAGTCCCTGCTAATTAAGGCCTCTACTTGCAATCAAGAGTAAGTACCTGGTCTGATGGAGACTGCTTGTAACCCCGTTCACTAATGTTTATCTATGCCCTTGTGACTGCTTGTAACCCCATTCACTTGTTGCCTGTCCTTACCTTTGTTCCTCCCTTCTCATTGTATCCTTTAAACAAAGAGTAAGTCAACTCTCTCACCCACTGTGAACACAGTTATCACCCCTAAAAAAAGAACTTCAAAAAACCCAGGGGAGGCTGCTCTCAGAAACTCCAACTTAGAGGAGACAGCTGGCTGGCCAGGCTAGACTATACTCAATTACAGCTTGCTTTAATTTGAACTATCTTGGACTCTGGGTCTTTTGTTGTTCAGTTTGTTGTTGTTGTTGTTGTTTTCCAATTCTGGAATTAACACATTACATATACTGCAGAGATCTTTTTAAAGACCCTTTGAGTTTATCATAGATGGACAAATGTTTAGAAAATAAAGAACTCATGACTTAAGTGGGATTGGGTTTTCTTATTTCATGAATTTGGTAAAATGGGCCCAAAATGTCTTTTTTTATTCTCTTTGAAATAGAATCCATAGAATTTTACCTGTTCTGTACTCATACTTTGTTTTACCATGGAAAATGTTTTACACTCAAAATATATACAAAGATGGTTTAAATTGGCTCCTGATGGATTTTGACCAGTGGAAAATTTGTAGACACATACCTTTTTAGGAGCTCTTACTAATTAATCAAGTATCTATCTAGTACCAGTCAGACAAAATGCTACAATAGAGAAATCATTATCACAGCAGGTATCTGTGTTGTAGACATTCTTAGCTGAGATAGTCCGATCTTGCTGATAGGACCGTGTCTAACTTGTGAGATTTCTAGTGAGAGTTCTCACGTGCCCCTTTCCTTCTTGGGAAATGGAACTGAAAAATATCACCAGTTCTAAAACTGATTGGAGAAAGCATCAAGATTTTTAATGCATAT